CGCTGTCTATAAAAAGTTTGCAATTGTAGCAGTCGGGTGGACGGTCTGCGCAATGTGGGCATTAATTCGACGACGAGAAACAAGCCGAATCAGGAACTGTCTTGCGGTCAAGCAAATATTCGGTCCCTCCCGCAGCGAAATCTCTCGCCACAGCCAAAGATTAAAGCAAAGGATGTTGCTGCTACAACCGATAGGGTAGATTTTTGAGTCTTCAAAAGTTCATAAAGTTTTTTTCTAATCTTTTATAAGCTGATACGCAATGGCGAACAGTATGCTCCCAAATTTAATGACAAAAGTCCGACTTCACTAGTGACGGACAACTTGTTTATTAGTTTCGACGGTGCCAGAAACTTGTAATTAACGACGGTGCATCACCTGTAATTAACCCTCAAAGGAGGGAGCCATCTACGGTTTTTCCGGAAAGTAGCGGCCTCTGGCAATTGCCACTACTCAGGCAACTTCCGACTCTCTCCATCTCCCACTCCAAATTTTGACTTTGTTTTTTTTTACCTGATGTCTGACAAAGATGCGCAGCTTAACTGCGTGTGGTTTGTAGGTGCACCTCAGTAACATCGGACTTTTCTACTTTGAGCAGTGCACTCGTTTTGCGGTATTCTTAACTTCTGTGTTCTAGATTGCCGAAAAAGCTGGCCACATATCGCGCCAACGAAGTCATACAACACGTGGACCTGTACGCGTCTACAACACTCGTGAGTATTGGTTATTTGACTGTTTATGACAAAAAAGCAACCCTCTCTTAACTTCTTTCGCTGTTGTTGTGCAGCAGGTTAAGGTTTGATTCCGCCGGCGGTACATCCAGTCACTGTTCGATCCGTTTTGATTTGAAATTGTTAGTGGTGTATGTCGGGTGGGTTTTGCTCATAAGCAACTCTTGAAGAGAAAGAGAGCCATCGACAGCCTTGCCAGCGAGTGGTTGCAGTTGGCACTTGCTATCACTGAGACTACTGCCCGAGTTGCATCCGCTTCTCACTGAGAGCAAAATACGTAGGGATTTTGACTTCTTTTATTTTACTGAGCTTGACTAGACGAAATTAGGCCTGAATCTACAGTTGCTGAGCCGGAAACTTCTCCAGCCGCTGTGGCAGTTCGCTCCAACTGACGCTTACGGGTAAGAGAAACAAATCTTTGTGCGGCACCCGAAAATGATGAGCCAGCTGTGCAGCAGTGAAGAAATCCAAATTATGCAGTTGACCTCCTGCATAACTGTCGGACAGACCCTATTCCAAGTATTTTAAATAAGCCCATGGAATTTCCTGACCACCGTAATTTCATCGTTTTGACCGAATTTTTTGTATTTTCGTCATGCGCAGCGCAATGCATGTAGTATCTCTCCGGAAGAACAACCACCAGCAACGAATCCGGTGGCAGCTACCAGCTGCTGCATCTGTGAAGCTGTGGAACGACATCTGTGTCAAAATATTGTTTTGGTTGATTTTCAGAAAAGAAAGTAAGCAGTGATGGTCTTCCGCCAGTTGGCCCTGGTCTGCCTCTCAGTCGGCGTCCGAAAGTTGGTGATTCGATGGAGAGAGTGCCAGAGCAAGGTTCCAGAAAGCAAAATGGTATCTTACTTCCATATTTCGGCTGTTTTATCACTCATCAGACAGTCATTTTGTAGTTGTTTTGTATCTAACACGAATCAGCGTGAAGTGCTCATTTTTCAGCAGGGAACGCAGCTTCTGGAAGTGTTGTCTCCGGAGCGCCTAGTGCTGTGGCATCCAGAAAGCCGAATAATACAGTCCTCGAATTTGCACCTTGTTTGCGCAGCCGAGTTGCGCAAAAGGTATTTGGCTTCATTTGTTTTTCCTTCAAAACATCAGACAACTCGTCAAGAATTAAGTGGGTAAAATGCACCTTGCGTTCCGGATTTATTTCTTGGCTTTCCCCTAAAGTGCTGCCGTTTTAAAGTGGAAAAGTATGGAGGGAAAACCTTAAATACTTAGATTTTTAATCCGTACCGTTTTGATAGCTGTAATTCGTAATATAGCTCTCCAGCTACGCATTTAATAAGTTTCTCAGTAGCGTTGTCCAATGTTGCCTCGGCCTGATGGTCGCCTTGGCCTGCTGACAGTCCTCATGTGTGTTTTATCACTTCGTCGGATTACCAGCTCAGCAGCCTCACTAACAGAACACTGACAAGCATTCAGCCGTTCGTTGATGACTTTAAACTCCTCCTTAAACTTACCCTCATTTCCTTCTCTTCCGTTTTCATCTTCCTCCGGTAAACAACATGTTCCTTCTACTGGCGAAAGAGAGCACTCTGCTGATTCCCACCGCATTTCGCACCGATTCTGCCATCTGTATTTACAGCTCAGGGATGAAACACAGACAGGCACCAGCTCAATGTACATACAGGCTTGCTTATTTGGGAAAATTAGGGAAGATTTTCCTTAATTGTCAAAAAATTCGATTTTGTTCCTCTGTACAGTAAGCCAACAATGCCAAACAAACTGCGTATGTTAATATATAGAAGAGTTCAGGCCCTCGTCCACTTGCAGTCTCCTAGCCATGGATATTCATTGTTTGCATCTTTAAAATTCCTGAAACACTTTAAGTGTGTGTTGATCATCACACCTCGTCCCGAAGTTCTTAAGCCTTACCAACTATAGCCCTTCACCATTGGACAAACACCCATCAAATTGCCAAAAAGAAAAAAACCCTTAAAATTCCCGTGTTCTAGCCGCGGCCAAAACTGCAGTATTTGGCGGTCCCGTACGCAATCTTTTTTCAGAAATCTGAATCGAAAGCTGCTACTGGGAGTGCGACGGCTCCCGTTCGTGGTACGGTTTCTGGCAGTGCTGGCACTGCTGCTCCACCGGTACGTCCGCGACGAAGTGTGGCCGAAAGGGAAGCGTTTTTCCGGCGATTGAGTACGCCGAAATCAGTGGTCGCGGCGAAGAAGTGTGCCAAGTGATGATGCGGCGCAGTAAGGGGTTGAGTACTTTTACGATTTTTATGATTTATGAGTACGTTTTATGATTTATGATTACGATTTATGAGACTTATATGATTACGATTTATAGTATATGAGATACGATTATGATATATGACATATGAGATTTATTATTACGATTTATGAGATTTATGAGTACGATTAAATGCGTTTAAAGCGTCTCAAATCCATTATTTCTCGCTCTACATTTATGTATTGCATTACTGTGACTACCATTTATGTAATGCATTACTGTGACTTTGCATTACTGTTACTACTGAGCTGTATAAAATTTTTTGAAATGGAGAAATGTGTTTTGCTTCCGGGCTTTGCTTATTTTTGGCGTAAACAATTTTCGATCCCCCGGTCCTTTCTTTCTCACTTTTTACGCAACTTCAAAAATCACTGTTTATGCGTTTTCTGTGCAACGAAATTTCATCGAGTTTAAAGCACCATTCACAATTTTTGATGGAAATTGGGCGCATAAAAGTGATTTCTTATGGGTGGTTTTTCGGCCTAAAGTTTCCACGTGGAGTCCTGGAAAAGGCTTTAGTCTCTTGCGAAATTTAAAACATCCTTTCTTGATAGGCTTACATTCTTCGCTGAACTCCCTTTTCTTAACCATTGCACAGATTTTCTGCTCACCAGATTTTGTGCTGTGCCGTACGGCAGTTGACGGTGATTTCAGCCGAGGCCTAGTACTGGGTTCTTTTCTGT